TCCCCTTTTCCCCTTTTGAGTTGTTCGCCGCCCTGAGTTCCTCCCGGAGAAGGGCGGCATACAAATAAACTAAATCTTAAATCTTAAATCTGTTTGTCTAAAAATAAAAAAAATTATTAAAAAAAGAACATTTCCAAAGACATTGGAAGATGGTGCTATTCTGCTACAAATAGCAGATTCTCCCTGTAAGATAGGAAATGCTGCAATTCATTATTACGAACTGCACAAACACTATATAGAATATTTCCATGTCCAGCCTGAAGAATGGTTAAAAAACACCACACAGAATTCACTACCTTTACTACCTTGCACAGAGAAATACAAGATAATTAGTGCAATATAAAGAACCAGCAATTAAATGCCATACAATTCCTGGCCTCTTCCTGGAAGGCAGTTGAAGCAGATGTTTCCTGTGCTTCAATTATCTGGATTTAAACAAAATATGTGTGGACTGATCTTAAATCCTACTCCTTTCCAGAGTAGGTCCAACAACTTCTGTCTTTTTTCAAAAAGACCAAGCCCTTCTTTCTATCTGCAGGAGTGTCCATGACAGACAGCATCCCTCCCACACAGAAGTTAATTCTGCATGCCTGAGCTTGTGGGAAGGTAAATTGGGTGTCCAAATAGGTGGCTTGTTTGGGCTGCAGTCACAGCAAATGTGTCACATGCAAAGGTATGGGAATACCCAACCTTCTACTCTGCAGGGCTGGATTGCCCTGTTCACACATTCTGGCTTCATTTCTGAAACATAAAGTAGCTCACATGCCAACAGCTTGGCACAGTGGGAGCTTCGTCACTGGAAGCTTTCAAGAAGAGATTGGGCTGCCACTTGTCAGAAATGGTGTAAGGTCTCCTACTTGGGCACAGAGTTGGATTAGATGACCTACAAGGTCCCTTCCAACTCTGTTAATTTGTTACTGTTACAGTACCTCTATTTTGCAATGAAATCCAGTTCTGCATGCCTTTCGTGGCCAATGTAAAGGGGTGTTAAGGTTTGGGGGGATAGGATGAAACCACTGGGGCAGTGGTGACATCTCTTATTAGAATGGGTCACTGCTCATTTGCCTTTTGTCCCTGCCTTGATATGAGGGAACACCACCCCAAGAGTGGATCGAGGAACAAAATGAACTGCAAAATCAGCTTGGGTGCTAAAATTTCTGTAACTCGGGCTGCTGTGAAGGCCAGAGCTATCCTTCTCCCCCTGTACTCCTGACTTTGGAATCACAGGGGGCTCCTTCATTCTCTGAGCTTGACAGTTACAGCTTCATTAGCCCATGCCACCCGTGCTGTTCCCATGGTTACAACACTTTACAGGCAGCGAGGGCAGAGGCCCATTCACCTCCCATTCCCTCAGGAGCAGAGCCAACCTCTGCATTCATGTCCCATTATGCAGGAGAAGACTACAAGCCTGCCATTACCTGTCTTCCGATGATATAAAGCCCTGCACGAAGCCTCCTCACACTGTTCACGTACTCAGTGGATATTCAGCGTTGCTGCCTTCCTATTTGCTGAATACTGTGAGGGGAGATTTTCAGAATAAAGACCAGAGGGAGATCTGTGTATTACAGGCTGTGAAATTTCATTTGCCCCTAACCAACTATGTGCTTTTATTTTACCTAAGGCAAGCGTGGCCGGGGTGGGCATTTGAAAATGTTAATCGGTAATTCCCTTCTATTCCTTGCTCATTCTGCAAGTCTGAGCTTTGTAAAAAAGATCTACACAACCTCGGCACTTACATCTATTTCAGTACATACCTTTTGAACATTTTAGAAAACAAGTGTGATGCTTTCCCTTTATCCTCGAATGCAGAGTTTAAATACTTTTTGATTTTTCTTTTCTGAGCCATAAAACTCCAGTGTAATATTAAGGGAAGTGAAAAGAATCCATCCGACTGCTAAGTTCTGATCTGCACATTTCTCTAGAAGAGGCAGATCAATTCAGGTTGAAAAGAGATTCCTCCAGCATTCCTAGTGGCAATGATATTGTGTGTGTATATTTATGTGTAGGAAGCAAAGGGCAGATTTTTCATGCTCAGCTGCTCTGTTTTCCATAAAAAAAGGACTTTGTCTGTGTATGAATACTATAAATGCACATTTGTTTCCAATTTTCTGTCTTGTTCTATTTTTCTGTAAGGCAGCATTTCTGTTGTAAGAATATTCCATTCTGAGATCAATACGTTGTTTTTGGAAAAATGCAATATTTCCCTCCTAGCTAGCACACTGATTGCTATTAAGTTGGCTACACAGAACCTGGCTGGCAACATACTGGCCACATGTGATGTATATGATGTGATGTAATACTATTTTCTTTCTGTTTTACTCTTTTGTGAATTTTCCTGTTCATTGTCTGGAATTTCTCTTAGGCAGTGTGGTATCTATATTAATCCTGCAATGGAATACTCCTGTAGAAAAAAAAAATCCCTACGTCGCTTTCAGTTATTAGCAGCTCTTTTCACAGTGCAAACCTATATGTAGCTATTTAGAGGGAGGTCTTACTGAATTAAATGGTACTTAAGGCCAGGTAAGCGTGTATTAGCCATAATTCTCCCCAGCAAAACGGCTTCCCCTTGTATATATTGGTTATATAGAGCCTGGTGTTACATTTTAGTCACTAAGTACTTGGAAATGTTCCAGTTCTTCTTCAATTCTCATAGCCTGATGAAGGAGAAACGAACTGGATAGAAGGGAGGAAAATGTTGATTATATAAGCCTCATGACACACCCTCTAATGAAAATGAATCCCCCCCTCTCTCTCACCCACACACATTGAAGCATTGCTTTTTATGCCCCTCAGCAGTCCAACCTATTCAGAGACACTTCTGCAAAAGGAAAGACCATCCCCAGGCTATGAGTCAACAAGCTGGAACAAGCTCATACCAACTGAATGGTAAGAAATTAGTTGCCCATCCCAATTGTCATTACGCACACAGCAACAGTTGAGCTACAAGCAATAAGCAACAGGCTTACAAGTAACTAGATTCTTGTTTTATGGCACCCCAAAGTACAGTATATTGCACACTTTAGTGCTAAGTAAAAAAAAAAAAAAGCAGCAAATGCTCATGGCCTCGCCCAGTATAAGCAGCATAACAAATCATTCACCAACAAAAATAAGATGCCAGGAATAAAATTTGCAATAAAATTCTTAGGGAATAAATACCTCTGGATTTTAACACACACACAAAAGCTCAGAATAATAAATGGATATGTATGGCCCTGTTCATTCCTCTATATGGTTCTATTTATTTTGCAGATGCATATCAGTTTTATACTTGTCCAATATTTACAGATCTGAAAAAGATCCCCAAGAACAGGCTTGCTAAGATTTTGGTTTTTTTTTTTTAAAAAAAAGCAGCACTGTTGATATAACAAAATATAGTAGAATTTGCTTTATACTCTGGGAGTTTAAAGTCTGGATTTCAAGGTACCAATATTAAATCAAATAGTTCACACAAATTCTGAACATGAATAGAGTTCATTTACCCAATAATGCTAGGTAAATATGTTTTTGTGCAACTTTATATGAACAAAAATTCTATCTCTATGCCAATTTGCAACCATAACTCTGCTTTTAAAAGACCATAACCGAGTTTTCATCTATATAATGAAAGAACAATCATAAACATGTCTAGTTCTTAACAGTAAACATAAACTTTTGTGCAATTTATACATGCTTCATATACTTCCAAAATAAAATAGACATTTGAAATCCCACCTAGAGATGGAATAGCACTTATAAATCATCTTTGCAGAATCACAGTGTGCAACTGCTCACAAACAGCTCAGAAAATTAATGCACAGTGGTTAAATTTTGCATAGATTGAACACGCCACCACAGAATCTTTCACGAAACTATACAAGATTTCCATAATAATGTTTAACACACACCTATGTATAAGAGGTAAGATTTATCTAGCTATACTGCTTTACTTCCTACCTAGCCTCCCCCCCCCCCGGCAATGTACAGGCTTCCCCTCCCTCAGATCAAGAGAAAGTTCATCCATTGATTGTGACAAAAATTGACTAACTGGCTTGTCACCCAAGCATGATGTTGTAGGCTGAGAGTGAGTGCTGATTCTAAAGTCATCCAGCTAGCGTTCATGCCTAAAGTGGAACTAAAATTCAGAGTCTCATGGTTTCTAGCTGGACCACTAGACCAAGCTGGCTCTCAAAGTTTTACTCCAAAATAGTTATGGGTCAAGACGCTATTGAACATGGTAAAACAAGGATGCAGTCCAGATAAATAAATGGCACCCAGGACATCACATTTTTCCAGACTGTTTATAGCATTTACAGTAGAAACACAGTATGGATCTGAACATTTCTATTTAACAGATAACATTGCATACATTGGAAGAGACTTGCTATTATGGATGGTTCCATAGCTGACATGTGACATTGCAGTGAATCAGAAGTAATAGTTCTGAGTTTCCTCCACATTTCTCATTTCTGATACTATCTAGTAATATGGTTATAAAACATGGCATCACTGTGCTACAAGTTTCCTCATGTAACCAGTTGCTGTTTATTGGAGCATGGATACTTTCAGCTGAGTGGTGGTCATCTTAACAATAAGCACCACATCATCCTTACATGCATTCCCACCAGCTGAGACTTAAGTCAAGAACATCCTACATAGAAATACTTTGGTACCAGGATCACTTGTATACTTTTCATTACTATAAGAGGTGGGGATAGGAAGCTGCCTTATCCTTATGAAATCTAGCTCCACCCAGCCAATGGCTTAGTAGAGTTCCAGATATGAATTCTCTTCCAGCTGTATCTGGTTAAGAATTGCAGTTATGACTTCTGCATGCAGGGGAGGTACTGTACCACTTAGATACAGCCTTTCCCATATCTTTTTGTCACATGAAAGCAGAAATAGTTCTCTCCTATAGAGCAGGTGGAAGATTATAATGTGAACTTCCTGACCAGGTCATGGTTTGCACCAGGAATAATAGCCACATAGTCCATAAGGAAGGGCTGATGTTTTTGACAGTAGCTACATCCACTTTTCCATGTAAGAACCTATTCAACAATGACAAAGCCCAAGTAACTGTTCAAGCCACATATTAGTGCTGATGTATTAAGTCCTATTATGAAGCAACAAGTTTGGGCGGGGAGGGAGAGAGGCATGGTTCCTCAGCTACTTTATTATAGAAGGCCAGAAAGAGGTATTCTGTTTTTCTTGAACTTGTGATGATGCACATTTTACCATTCACCAATCTTTGCCTTAAGGTTTGCTATACTAAATCAAAGACATAATAGCAGGTATTATAGGATCTGCTTACCTGGAAAGGTCCTGCAGGATTGATGGGTACATGTACTTGCTGCCACATATTTCCTTTGTCTCCTTTGAGTGACAAGGCTTGAGTGGGTTGCTTATTCCTCACATGAACCAGGAGATTTAAGGATCCTATAAGGGAATGGCATGAAACACTGGAGTCATACTGTGTCTTTGCAGCAATTTTTTGTGAAAGGATCAATTGACATTTGCATCTATATTAGATCTTGCACATAGGTTCTTTCACTGAATGCATAAGATGTGAGTAGGGGCTATTAACAATCTATATATCTTTCATTATTGCAATCTTGGAGTAGAGATATACATTTAAATGTCTTATGCATTGTTTCCCTGAAGAATTCTAGTTAATTCCCAGTTAATCTTATCCCAACGTGGGTGCTCTTTATTCATTCAGTAAGTAATATCCCACTTAATGTTTGCCTCCATTCTCTCCTCCTCATTTTTTATGCTGATAAGGAAGATCTAATGAAATGAACAGGTTGCAGTCCTTTATTACTATCAGGATCTCTGATCTTGGTAGGGGTTATATTGTCTTGGACCACAATATCTACATCTAGACAACCTTGGTTATAATTATTCTTCAGACATTTGCCACCATGATGAGGGAAACAAATTGTGACATAGATTTAAGAAATGCAGTATTGAAAATTGACACTGAACTGTTTGTAAACCAAACTAAGATCAGCTGCAGCTATGATATTTACTAAGCACAAGTAGGATAAGTAGAAATCTCTTCACTAAACAGAGGGTTAGATTCAATGGTCTAAATTACCATTTCCAACTCAATGAATATGAATTCAGGTTCAGTTAACACTCCCTGCAGAAATTCTTTCCCAGAATCATCCTGTAGCATACACCTCTATAATAGGCATCTAAGGAGCATTAAAGCTAATAAAATATGTGTTTAATAGGCTTCTGGTCTGGCAGACCTTATCAAAGAGCAAGCTCCAATGAGCAAGCTCTTGTCTGCACATATTGTTTTCTGAAATGAATGTTTATTTAATTGATTTCCAAACGATCACCATGGGAAATGTGCTAGGATGGCCAAAGCTATACAAAACTTTGCATAGAAGACAATTTCCAATTGCAAGGTTGTGAAGGCTTGAGAGATTCACAGCCTGGCTGTTGAAGGAAGCAGATACTACTAAGTTATTGAGCTTATAATTTTATATACATACTTTCCTGGAAGTAAGCTACCTGAAATCAGGAGGAACTAGGGCAGTGTTTCTCAACCTTGGCCACTTGAAGATGTCCGGACTTCAACTTCCAGAATTCGCTGGCTGGGGAATTCTGGGAGTTGAAGTCCGGACATCTTCAAGTGGCCAAGGTTGAGAAACACTGAACTAGGGTAATGGGAAGACAGCTAGAATGGCACTTGCAACAGAACTTTCTAGAAAATGGATGCCAAATTTGTTTGTTAATGGTAAGTGCTCTATAGTAGCATGATGGCTGGCCTATGGCTGGACAAACCCAGTTTGAAACTTCAAACTCCACTTAGCCATGAGATTACTAGATGTTGTAGTTGAGTTGATCTCACAGAATTACTCATGAAGGTAAAATAGAGGAAGACATGCCATCCTGAGCAGCAAAAAAAGAGGTAAATCTTATTTTTATTACAAGACAATGCTTCCCCTGAAAATCTATTTGTCCTTTCTCCCTTAACTCTCTAAATTTCATGTACTTTTTGACCTATTATAAATTACTAGTCATTCAAGACATGCTAAAAAAACCTACATAAAATCCAGATATTTCATTGGTCTCTTTAGGAAAAATGCCATCACTGGGGTCAAGTCACAACTTGTCTCTGTAATATCCAAAATTAATGATTAAAGAAAGAAGTCTAAACAAAAGAAAAAAAAATCTGCTTAAACCCACACTATTCTTAGATTGTTTTCAATTTTTTTCTATGTAAGAGCGACTTTATGTGTGCTTGTTGGCATGTGAATAAGTGTTTATAGGTATAATTTAACTTCACTGTGGTAATACAAGCATATATCTGTAGACTGAACTATTAGTGTTAAACCAAAGGACGTAATCAATTTTGGCCACCTATTGAGTGTAACTTGAAGGAAGGAGAAACAAGTTACCCTGCTCTGGGACACTGCGGAGATGAGCAATTATCATTTTACTTGCTTTGCATTATGGATAGGCTGACTTTTCCTTAAATAGGAAATCTGATTAATATGCTTTAAACCAGACGTTTTGGGTTTGGTGATTTACCTAATTTAAATCATTCCACTCTAGAACCAGCTACTATCCCTAACAGCTAAGAAGTAAAAGATTTCCTTGACATTATTCCCCAGATTACTGTTCTGAAGAGGCAGACAGCACTATTACACAGCAGGCAGATTCTATATTACCACAAAAATGTGACTGAAGATCGCATTTTCATGGCTAGCATTCTAATAGAACCCAAATAAAATAAAATAAAATGGAACTGCCATATTTAATTCTGTCAATCAAGAAACATATTAATCAGCTCCAAGAGGATATTGTAGGAATGTGGGCCAACACCCAAATATTTGAGTTGTGGTATACAATGAATGTAATAACTTTTCTTCTGCTGAGATCTGAGTATATGTATGTATGTGTGTGTATATATACGTGTGTGTTGCATTTGTGCTGATACACACACACACACACACACACACACACACACACACACACACACACAATATTGGCCTCAAGCTAGCAACAGAGAGAAGGGATCTATATTCTGTCCCAACATTCCCTTAATTAAATGCACATGCATGCATGTATACACATATAAGCACAACAAGTTGTCTCATGGACCACAGAAATAGGTGTTTTAAGGTTGCATTTGAAATAAACTCCTTTTCTGCAACTTTGGAGCCCTTTCTATCTGAATTACTAGATTTCAGTCATCTGGGGTTAGGTAGGGGAACATACATAGAGAAAACTATTTCTTAAATCCTTTCCCTTCTGCCTGTTGTCCTCTGCCATGTTTCCCCTGACCCAATTTCATCCCTGTACACCAGGGTCCCTACATTATGCTATTATCCTTGGGCACTGGGGCTCTTGCCACTTTCCAAGCCATTAAGCCCAAGTCACAGCCAAAAAAACTTTGCTCATCCTTTTTTGTTCAGTTTATCTGCATGAAATCTGTTCTCCCACTACTAGAAGAAGTTAGTCCTTCGCAACTTGGGTAAAAGGCAACCATTCTCTTCCTTTTCAGTATCCAGTCTTCTTTAACATCTGATGCTTATTTGAAAGTGGACATCAGATAGAGATCTGGCTAAACTGGCAAGGCAACCAGAGCTGTTGATAAACTGGAGGTGGGAGGCGGTTTAGAAGTGTGCAGTGTTGATGCGGATCCTATAGCTGTTCCACAAATCAGTGAAAACTTGGCTTTCTTCCCAGGCCTGGATATAGGGTGGTTGCCGAGGGATTGTTCGTAGGTTGTTTTTTTTAAAAAATGTATTGGCTTGTTTGTCCTGGACATGCATGTTCATTTTTCTTTTCCCCCTTTCTTTACTTTTTAGATATAAGCCATCCAGAGTCATTGGCCAAATAAGTCCAAATGAACAAACCAATAAATGAAGTCATAACTTAGCTATTATAATGTAACTGCTGAGCTAGCTCTGATTGAGTTTTAACAAGAACAACTTTATATTGGCAACACTTCTTCTAAGACCATTTCCATCAGTTTGAATGGGAGACACTAGGTCAGTTCAATAAAAAGATCCCCCTCCTGGTCTCAAGCTTTAAGAAATAATACTGAAAACTATTTTGGACCAAATCTTTTGAAGAGAGAAATTGAATTTTAATGGACAACTCTCTCTGCATCCTCCCTCTTTTAAGCTGGATAAATGCCAGGCACTGCACTCATTAACTTGTAAAGACATCTGGAGGAGACTTACATTTCCTTCATTATCCATCGAAGTATCCCTAGCATTTCTGGCTCACATCATGGATAATAATCAATTTAGCAAAGAAATGCCAGGAAATCAGGCATCATTCAGTGTTCTGATCTTATCTACTCATCCTAACTACAACCTTCCAGGCAAAAATATGGCAGCACAGCCAGGAGTGGAACAAATCATCCAGAAAATGAATTCTGATGCCTGTATAAAGAAGGCAAAGAACTAAGGGGAGTGAAGCAGCATCTGGAAAGCAAAAAAAATGCATTCTTTGAAATTCTCACCACCAAGCAAACTGAATGCATATTTTACCGAAAATTGCATGTCTACACCAATCAAGGAAAGAAAAAGAATCAAGAAAACGTCATTTCCTCGACTGGGGGATCAGGAAGCATTTTGAATAAATTATGGTTTATTGGTTGATCTTCCTCCTCTTTTTCATTTAAAGTGGATAATATAAATGGGACAACAGGACAAATAAACTGGGGGCATACAACTCTGTTCTGTTCTGCTGTTCTGTTGCTTAGAATGAGGAAAATTATTTTTCTGAATACTGTCCATATACAATCACATTGATCTGAATAGCAAGAGGAGGTGGTATGTCTAAATTGGGACAATATATTTTAAATATTGTAGTCTAACTTTTAAAAGACAGGAGACTAAATCTCCAGTGATGAGATCATGTAGGGCTGTGATGATATGAGATCATATAGGGTTGTGATTATGATTATTAGTGAACCGCTCATCAAAAGGGGAGAATATTTGAAACTCAAAGCCTGGTTCAGATGTTACACAGAGCCTGCAGTTTAAAGAGAGCTTGAAATGTTCAAATATTAAAAGCAGAGAAGTCAAAGCCCTAAGTAAGATGGTAAGAGTTAAGTCAGGCAGAGATCTCTGCCTGGATTTCTTTCCCCAACTAGTTCTTATTCGGTTTGATGGAAGAAAATGTTCTTTGAAGATGACAATTTTGGAGAAATTTACATCTTTAGCCCTGATATAACTAAGGGTGTGTGTGTGTGTGTGTTTTGCTTTGTGGAATAATTTATCTAGCAGTCTTCAGCCTCTCTGGCAAATCATCCCTCTGGATTTTTTTCAGTAGTGATGCTACTGATTACACTACAGCTGGGAATGGAAGGAATGCTCTTGAGAAATTGCTGGGAATCTCCTATCCCAATTCACCTAAGTTCTCTTCCTTTGGATAATTTTCTTTTTCTTAAGGGAGCATTTTGG